TTCTTCTTCTTTCTTCTTCTTCTTTTCTTCTTCTTCTTCTTCTTCCCCTTTTTCACTGCTAGGGATTAAACCCGGGGCCTTGCATATACCAAACATGCTGTACCACTGAGCAACACTCCCAACCCTGCGGTGTCTGTTTTGAACTTTTGAGTTACATAACTGACCAAGGACTGATTCCACTCAATCGAGTCAAACAAAATATTTGCTGGCATTTGTTATCCCATCATGTAACACTGAAGAGACCAATGAATAAAGAAAATAGTGTTAAGAATCTTATTTCTACTTTGCCATCCACTAGGTATCTCTGTGCAATCATTTCTGACTCTAACATCATTGTTTTGATTCTACAGTGTCTCATGCAGGAGCCTCTATGTCATCTGCTTCATCAGACACTGGAATGAGTCCCTCATCATCATCTCCCCCACAAAATGTCCTTGCTGTAGAATGCAGGTGATAAACATTTTCTCTGCCTTCCCAGCAGTTTGCTGCCATGGACATAAATTCCAAAACCCTGAAATACAACCACAGAGAGCACTCAACTGGTTTGACATTGCTAAGTATATCCTGTGTACTTTTCCAGGCTGGATTGTATCTATTCCCTTCTCTCTTGTTTTATCTTGTTGCAAAAAAAAAAAAAAGCTGATTAATAATTGAAGGTTAGGCAGCCTGCCATATTTGTTATAATTTTTCCTCTTTATTTTTTTCATTTTTTGTGATATAGAAAAAAAGGGCACTTAGCAAATTTGAATTTGTAAAATAAAGCTTTTCAGGTGTTATAGAAATCATAGACAAGCAAGTGCACATGGTAAACATCAAAATATTATCCAGCTGAATAGATACTGCTGCACTTTCACTAAGATGTATTTGTACACTTGGTGAGTAGGGGGTTTATGTTGTGTTTTTTATTGTTGTTGATGTTTTTTTTTTTTTAATTTCTGTGGAAGCACTTGCTATTTAGAACTGCCAAAGTATATGTTCAGCAGTGTGCCCAGGTTTAAAAGTGTAAATGGGACAAAATAAATTGTGAAAGGAAGTGTAGTTGACTGAAAACTACAGTTGTAATAAGTCTTCCACTTTTTATAGGACTTTTGAGCACACAATTATGCAAATATTTTAATGTTTATTAATGTTTACAGTGGAATTGTGAATAAGTTTTCAGTGGACTATCTTATCCCTTGACAAAAATATTTTGTCTTTTTTCTATGTAATTTCAGAGTTTTTATTTTGTTACAAAAATACAAAAATGAAATATATAACAACAATGAAGTTATTTAACAAGATTTCTAAAGCTGAAAATTTTGTGTAAAATAAGGTATTATCTTGCAACTTGTTAAATATATTTATTCAGACATTGGATGTTGTATTTTTATGTATTTTTTAAAATATTAATAAAATTGAAAAAAAGAAAATTCTAGGTTAATTCACTCTTTGGATGACGCTAGCTCTCAGCTGTCCCTTTTACAGGAGGTATCTCCAGCAGCCTGGCCTGTACTGAAGGGAGTCTGTCTCAGTCCTTCAAATAGAATAGAACTATAAATGGGCATCTGGATCATTGAAGTATGTCCTTATTTAGAAACTTTGGCAGTCCTAGTATTTAAACTGTTTTAAGGATCAAATTTTTGGTTGCCCTTCAGAAATTTTGTCACAGTTTTATGTTTGCTATACTGCCGAATAAATTTATATCTCCCAAAGTTGAGATGCAACAACTAAGTAAAGCAACTATGTATGCTTTGTCTGTGAATTGTTCCACAGGCTGATACATTTTGTAAATAATTCTTCCAAAATCATGTATTTAAAGCAGTTTTGCATATACATTATGTAAAAAGTGATTTTTTAAAAGCAATTTTTAAATTCATGTTTGTACATTGAAAGGGGTTTTTTTTAAACCTCCTTTTCTGTGTTTAATACGCTGTAGAGTATAACCTAGATGCTCTAGACTGTATATCAGGATCTGATTTACAAGAACAAAGTCAGAGCTAAACACTAGTGATGGCATAGCATTACTGAAATCATTGTTTCTTAATTTCATTTTACCACATTGTGAACTTGTGATTCAGATTCCTTCCATTTTCTCAGAGAATTAAAAACAAAAAAAAAGTACTCTTGTAAAATGCACTTTTCTGTCTTTTCTTTGCAAAGCAGAAGTATTTCAATGTAAAATAAAAATGGAGCTCAGCGGTCAGTATTAATAAAGGCTATGTTTTAAACATAGGCTTTATATTTTTAGTTTTCATTTAAGTTGTTGCTTTTTCCACAAATGCCAGTAACTTTATAGTTGGAAAAATCAGATTTCACAAAACAAAGCATTTCAGTGTATTCTTCAGCCTTTTAATTAAATATTTCGAGTACTTATACAAATAAAAAATGTGTCATTCAAATCTAGTTGAAACTAGGAAGCAACCTTAGATTTAGACATTGAGATATTTTCAGAGGCAAATCAGTAAATCTGAGATAACTAAGTTTTTAGTTTGAGTACTGTCTATCCCTTCTAATTGATATAAATTTGGTAGTGAAGTATTGGGGTGTTGCTACAGAGAGTAAATGATATATTCATTGAATAAATATATAGACACTTAAAATTCCTTTCATTTGGGGCCTGGAAAAGGTTATAAAATTAAGTGAATGTTTACTAGGCATTACAGTTCAAATATTGGGCATGTTTTGAGTTTACCTAAAATTTAGATAGTTCTTACATGTGACTAAGAAAGTAAAAGGGCAAAGATACTCTAATACCTAAAATGGAAGGTTTTATCTGTAAAATCAAGATATTTAATTTTAGTTTACCATGTGTGCCTTTATTGTTTGCTGTTTTTGTACTAAATATTCAGTTTAACTGTCTTTTACTAGGAAAGATGGTTGTACCTAGCACATTTAGAAGACTACTACATACTATCTGTGAAATTGCTTTAAATTATGGAAATTATATTGATTAAGCTCTTAATTTATTTATGTACCTTTCTTATGAGCCCTATAAGTTAACATAGTTATCAAATTATGAAAACATTTAAAGCTAAGTTCAGCAGCACACAAAACCTTATCAGAATTAATTCATCAACAATTTATTGAGTATCTTCTGTGTGGCAGGTATTATGCTAATAATGCTAAGCCAGGAGCCACAAAAGTGAAGAAGACTGAAGAAGGTCCCTGTCTTCATGGAATGTGTAATCAAGTGGGGTAGATATTAAAACAAGTGACCTAATATGAAGTTTTGGTGTTCTATGAGATCCCCCGATTCAAAAGCTCAGCTAGTATGAAGGCTTGCTTGGGTAGTCTGGAAGACTTTGCAGAGACAGCAACACTGAATTTGAGCCCCCGTGAGGATTATTTTACTAGGAAATGGGAGGAGAGAGATGGATCCTCTAGCATTCCAAGCACATAGAGAAGGAGAATTTGGTACTAAGGAGCCAGGGTTAGAGCAGACCTGGGACGGGGCCAGGTTAAACAGAACCATTCAGGTACTGCTCAAACTTTGCAACTGCCCATCTCTACTTCTTGCTCTTCTGTTCCTCTGCCACTCTCATCCCTTGCCCAGACTGTCTTTTTTCTTTCTTTCTTTCTTTTTTAGTTGTAGATGAATGCAATACCTTTATTTTTATTTGTATGCCTCACATGTGCTAGGCTAGAACTTTTACTACTGAGCCACAACCCTAGTCCCTAGAGCTGTCTTGAGCCACGTATCCATGAAGTTTTGGCTGACTTCTCACCACCATAGAATATCATCCTTTTGCTTGCCCTGTAGTGTTTTACCTGAGAGCTTACTTGTTATTATGTTTACTTGTCCATGTGTGCTTCTGCCCTTCTAGATCATGAGTTCCTTAAGTGCTCCTTAAGTCATGGGTGTGTCCCACAAAGTGCCTGGTCCTATCTCTAATAAAGTAAGGTAGTCAAAAATTGTTTAAATTGAGAAAAATTACTCTCAATGCTATTGTTTCTGTTTTGTTATTAGTGATTTTTATACGCAAAGCCAGAAATTCAAAAGAGGCGTTCAGGGTTGTTTTCATCAAGTGATGGCATTGAGGTCCAGGGATGGGGCTCAATGGTAGAGTGTTTGCCTAACAAGTGCTAGACCCTGGGATCAATCACCAGCATGGAAAAGGGGAAAAACCAAAGAGATGAAGTTGAAATATCATTTGGAAAGTATAGGATAGACTTATATAACATTTCCTCTCCAACTGAAATTATTAATTGATGAGTTGCTTTTCCTTCTCTCCTACACTGTCATGTGGTTACCCACAGCCTTTTATTCCATTAAAGGAAGGGTACACTGTGGTAGCATTTATCAGTGATAAAGATTGAGTGACTATTAGAGTGGAGTTTGCAATCCAGCAAATATGTACTTTAGTGTTTTCACAAAAAAACTAGAAATTTTTTTAGTCCTTTATTTATTTATTTATTTTACAAAATCAGTTGTTTTCCATGTTGACAAGCACAAAAACAAAACAAAAATGCTGTTCATTCATATGGGACCCGTTATGTATCTCTTTAAATAGAATAAGAAGGGTAGTACTTATAATTTTGGTATTTGTAGTTAAAGTAATTATGAAGCTGTCTTCATTTTGTTGTCTGTATCATGCAGAATTCATTTTGAAAAGTACTATTGTAAAAAAAAGCTTAAGACCTGACATGTTAATATAATAAATAATTATTTGTATAAGTAATTGAATTTCTTCTCAAAATAAATTAAACAAGATAGTATATAAGTATGTCCCATGCAAAAATCACAGTGGTTTCTGAAATTAAAATTTAATTGGACATCCTATATTTCATCTGCAAACTCTACACTAGTTCCTTTTCTGTCGTATCCTAAGCATATGTTTATTAGCTTCTAGATGGCCATTTTTGGTCACTGATGAGGTATAACAAATTGCTATACTTTCTTTTGGTTTCCAAGGATTTTTCATGGGCAGATTATGATTGAATTTTAGAATTTGATTGGCCCTCTGTATAATTGAAAACTAAAACTTTTCTGGAGGTGTTGTGTTCTTTTGATTGGACCCTGTTCCCACAGTGGTTAACTGCTTTCAGGAGTTCCCTCATATCTATCCAAACTTACTCCCAAATAAAAACATAAACTTGCCTATGACAAGCCCTTTACAATTATGAACAAAGCCACTATAAATATTCACATGCAGCTTTTTGTGTGAGCATGTTTTCACCCTTGGTTAAATACCTAGGAGATTGCTGGATTATACCACTGGTTCTATCTTACATTCCTACAAGCAGTATAGGAGAGTTCCAGTCGCACTGCACCCTCGCCAGCATTAGATACTGTTTAATGTTGGGTGTGTGTGTGTGAGTGTGTGTGTATGTGTGTGTGTGTGTGTGTGTGTGTGTTTTAGCCATTCTAATAGGTGTGTAGTGGTATTTCTCTGCTTTTAATTTGTATTCCCAAAATGCAGTGATGTCATGTTAGGTTTTTTAATGTCTGACACCCTCAAGTGTTGAAAAGTATGTAAAGAATTGCCCCCCAATGAACTGCAAGTGCAAGTATAAAATTTGTACATCTATTTTGAATCTGAAAGAATTTAATACACTAAAGAGAAGGCTTACGTTCTATAAATACAGTTCATTTGCCCTGTAGAAAATCTATGTATGTCTAAGGAGATTCGTATTAAGACTATTCTTTGCAGCATAGTTTGTGTGATCAAAAACAGGTGGGGGCATACACCTTTAATCCTGTCAACTTGAGAGCCTGAAGAAGGAGGATCTCAAGTTTGAGACTAGTCTTAGCAATTTAGTGAGACCCTGACTCAAAAAGACTGGGGTTGTAGTACAGTGGTAAAATGCTCCCGGTCTCAAGACCTAGAACCAGAAAAAAAGTTGGGGGTGGGGACCATCTTATGTGCCCATCAACAGGAGGATGGGTAAATAAGTTGTGACATATTAATTAAAAGCATACTAAGAGCAGTTAGTGGGCTAGAGGTAAATATATAAATATAGAGTGAGTTTCCAAAAAAAAAAAAAGCTAGTAGAAAAACCAAGTTGCTAAATAATAAATAAAAATAAATTATTTCTACATCTTCTTCCAGAAGATCAATAAAATTGATAAATCTCTAGTCAGATTGTTTGGGAGATAAAGAGAAAGAAAAAATTACCAATATCAAGAGTGAGGGACGTGGCATACTACAGAAGCTATTATAAAGTTGACAAAGGAATATCATGAATATATTTATGCAAATAAATTCAGCAACTAGCTGAAATGGAGAAAATGATGGAAAAACAGATTACCAAAAGGAGGAAGGAGAGAAAAAAAATTCAAGGTGTGCATGGCTACACTGATAAAGGAAGATGTGATACTAATTCTATCCAAACTCTTCCAAAAAATTGGAACTTAGTCTACAAGGCCAACCATTATCCCCTCAAGAGCAACACCCCTAGTGACTTAACTCTTAAAGACTCCAGCACCTCCAGATAGGGCCACAGTGACGCAGTCTTTAACATAATGGGCCTTTGGGGGACACTTCCAAACCACAGCATGTAAAATAACCAGTCAATGTAATTCACCATATTAAAAAAACCATAGGATGCAGAAAAAGCATTTGACAAAATCCAATATTGGTTTCTAATAAAAGAAAACCTTGGCAAAGTGGAAAGCAGACTAAAAAGGAACAACCTCAACCTGATAAAGGAAAACTATGAAGAGCATACAGTTGACATCATATTTAATGATGAAAGACTGAAGACTTTCCCCCATGATTTGGAATGAGACAAGGAGATCCACTCTCATTGCTTCTATTCAACATTGTACTGGTGGTTCCAACCAGAGAGCATTCAGATAAGGAAAAGGAATCACAGGTGCCTGGACTGGTGAGGTTAGCAAAATTGCAAGAGGTAAGATTAATATACAAAAATATCAATTGTTTTCTATACAGTAACAATAGTCGGCAATTGAAAATAAGGTAGACCTATTTAGACTGCATTTTGTTTTTTCTTATAGATAATTAAGGATTCATTTTGACATAATTATAAAAGGATGGAATATAATTTGCTCTAATTCAGTCCCCAGTACTGAATTCCCCTTTCCCTCTCCTCTTCCTCTTCCCTCCTGTTTCCTTCCCTCTATTCTACTGATTTTTCTGCTATTTACTTATAGATTTTTAAATTTAGTGTCTTGTGCATTATCACTCTATGATTACACTAGTGGAGTGACTCTGAAACGTGCAGCCAGAGGAATAAGAAGTTGTGCTCCATTTGTGTACAATATGTCAAAA